TGGGATCTTGGGCACGCAAGTACACGCGCCTGGCGTGAATTTTAAGCCACCGGGTCCAGGACGTGAACCGCGGTCGACTACATGGGAGTTCAGCAACATAGCCATTACGCTAACTGCTGGTTCCCCCCAGCATGAGTTTTAAGCCATTGGGTCCAGGACTCGAAATGCAATCAACTATGTGGGAGTCCAGCAACGTAACTACTCTGCCATCTGCTGGTCCCAGAAACAATCAATACCTTCATTGAGGTAATGACATATACACATTGTGTATATATCATACACAATAAATATGAGTGTGTCCAATTTATTGTATGTTAATTATTCCTCAATAAAGCTGTTTAAAAAAATACAGAAGGGACCAGCAGTTAGCATAATGGCTATGTCGCTGGACTCCCACACAGTCGACCGCGGTTCGTGTCCCGGACCCGGTGGCTTAAACTCACGCCAGGCACTTGTGCATGCCCAAGATTCCCAGAGGAGAATTGAGGAGAATGGAGGAGAAGGGACTGCGGTGTGACCATCCCACTGGGGGGTGATTTCTCGCTTTCTGTCTCTAAGTCTCTCTCTGTCTTTCTGGTGAGCGCACACGCCCTATAGCAAAAACCTCTCAAAAAATGCATTAGATATATAATATTATTTTGTTAGGTATGATAATGCTTATCATTAGTAGTTATTGAAGTAGTTATTTAAGAAAACAATTTTTTAAAAGATGCCTAAAGTATTTAAAGGTGAAAAGTCATTATGCCTGTGATCTGCTCTATATTAAAAATTTTCATTAAAGAAAAAACAGATGAAGCAATTATATAAAAAATATTTATAATTAAAGCTCTTATTCCCAGGTGATAGGCATATGGAAATTCATTATAGCCTTTTTTATAGCTTTGTATGTTTGTAATTTTTCAAAAAAAGAATTATGAAAAAACAGCACTTACCCTTTATTTTCAGAATCGTGAGCCACCATTACAAATGTTGCATCCAAAACAGGGGAAAATTCATCACCATGCAACTAAAGGACAATGGAAAGAAAATGCGGGTGTAAAAAATGCATTTATTTGGAAGACCTACCAATGCTTCAACAGATGGCACACATGCTTTGAAGAAAGTCTGAACTTAGAAAAAGAGGAAAAGCATACTTAGTAGTCACCAAGCTGCCCAAGGCCTATACTGAGCCAGGTATGTCACTAAGCTCTGGAAATGGCAAGATGATGGAGCCTGGAGTCTAGTGGAAGAGAAAGACACCTCAAAACCCAAATGGTGCAATGCGTGAGATGCACTGGGATGGGTTTGGAGCTATGCATGAGCAATGAGGGTCACAAGGGAACCTTCTGCACCATCAGCATTTAACTTGCCCACAACACGCAGAATCCAGGCTTCCTTCAGGGCCTACCTGTCCTCCTGACAGCATGCCTACCCAGATGGACCTGCACCACGCTAACACTAGTATTTTCAGGAAACTGTAGTGTGCCAACTACCAGCACACGATTTTTTCCTTGGCCAAGTGTAACAGCTTCTAAAAAGGAGTAGGATCAGTGATGATTCTGTGGATTAAGTTAAATATTGATGTCTACAATGCACAAGACAAGCATTTGGGTTTTTTTTTTTTAAGGTTTTTTCTTGGGATCAGCAGATGGTACAATGGTTACATTGCTGGACTCCCACATAGTCAACTGCAGTTTTAGTCCCAGACCTGGCGGCTTAAAACACACCAGGCGTGTGTGCATGTGTGTCGAAAATTCCAAGAGGAGAATGGAGAAGAAAGGATTGTGGCAGGGGCAACCCCCCAGGGAGGGATTTCTTGCTTTCTGTCTGTCTCTGTCTCTCTGGTGAGTGTACAGGCCCTATAGCAAAAATCTCTCTAAAAAGTTGATTTTTTAAAAAGTTTTAAAGTTTTTATTTTATTTTGTGCACAAAACAGACAGTATCCCCAACAGGGTCTTGATGGAGCAATCCGTCCCCAGCTTCAGGCAGCCCAGGACCACAGAAGATGCATACCTGGCATACTGGGGGAGGTCTCTGGAAGTGAACTTAAAGCCTTCCTGTGGGTAAGCCTTGCAGAGCATCACATTTTATTACAGTTACACCAGTATCTAGCTTCCTTTGAAGTTTTAAGGTTTTCTTTATCCCCAGGAAAATCATATAGAGTATGATAGAAGCTATTTATAACCTGAAGGTATATATGGATTTCCTCCTCAAGAGATGATACAGGCTTGGGGCCAGCAGGTGGCATGATGATTAAGGCTCCCACATAGCCAACCACGGTTCAAGTCCTGGACCTGGTGGCTTGCTTTCCCACTTTCCCACTCTCTCTCTCTGTGTCTCTCTGTGGTCAAATTAAAGTAAATGAATGAATAAATAAAAATTAAATATTTTTTTACAAAAAGAGATGATACAGGCTCAGCCACTGGCGTAGTAGCTGGAGCAGCTGGATCCCACGTGGCCAACTGAGTGGTTCAAGTTCCAGATCCGGAGGCTTGAAAAACACACCAGGCACGTGTACGTGTGTGCCCAAAACCCCGAGAGGAGAAGGGATTGCAGTGTGGCCATCCTGCCTGAGGGGGTGATTTCTCACTCTCCTTTCCCTGGTCTGTCTCTGGCAAGCACACACGCTCTATAGCAAAACTTAAAAAAATAATAATAAAAAGAGAGAGAGAGACATGAAATAGGCCTCCTCAGTACTGTCTGTTCAGGCCTTTACTACCTTCCCTGTCCACTGTGGGAAGTCTCACCAATCTCACTATTCCCATGCCCCATTTTAGCCTTCCTCTAGTTCCTCCTTTCTTTTCTTTTTTTTTTTTTTT